GCGGTGTTATTCCCCAACCCCGGGCTCTCTTTTTTCGTGCCGTGGTGCTGCAATCCCTTTTTGGGTTGGGGTTTTTTTTCCGGTTTTTTTTTTTTTTTTTTTTTTTTCTGGCAGGCTGAATGCCATGTTGTTTACTTCCTAACCTGACTTCATGTTCACACCCAAAGTGAAAAAGGATAGAAAGAAATTGGTTTTCTTTAGAAGCCAGTGGTCATGCTGTGGAACTCGTTTAGCTACTTGGGTTGGAGGTATACTGGCTGTCAGAAAGCCAATGCTTGTGTGAATCCAGCTCTGGGCAGGACCTGTGCCCCGCAGGCTGCCTGTGTGTAAAGGTGGGGGTAAGACAACCACATCTGAGGACCTTGAATGTTCAGAGCTAGTGCGTGGACCAAGGTCCAGTAAAAAGACTACAGTTTGCTGCCGCTTAGTCTGTGAATAACATCAGAAGGAGGAAATAAGCTGTTACCTACGGTGTCAAGTTCTGGCCTTGAACCCTGCCCAATGCACTGGTTGTCTTTATTTTGAAAATGAGAAGCATTTGGATGCATAGACAACAGTTGAAGAAGTTATAGAAGAATCTCATAATTACTCAATTTCAAGAATGGAGAGAAAAAATATAAAGAACCTAAATCTGTATTTGCTCCACCCTGTGGAGAGCTTCATCAATGTGCCTTACCTGTTTTCTGCACATAATATTTTTCTGATTTATTGTGTTTATGGCTTTATATCCTGAGTTAAACATTTACCTATTGTGTTACTCTCCATAGCAACTCATTTTTTTTTGTCTTTTTGAGACAGGATCTTCCTATAGCCCCAGCTGTCCTGAAACTCACTATGTAGATCAGGCTGGCCTTGAACTCAGAAAGATCCACTTGCCTCTGCCTCCCAAGTGCTGGGATTAAAAGCGTGTACCACCATGCCCGACTAGCAACTCATTTTTAATGACAACACAGTAATGTGGCATAACATTCTTCAGTTCAGGTCATTTTAGCATTTCACTGACATAAACAGCTCTGCCACTTAGTCATGTGGCTGACTTTGGCTAATTGCTTATGTTTTTTCAGTCTCAAATTTCTTACCTGGGAAGCTGGGCTGTACTTGTCTTGATGCCCCACCAGGGGAACATCTCAGTGTGGTTATTCAGGAATGTGAAAATGTGTTGAAAATATGGTAGTACTTATCATCACAAGAGACAGCTTGGTGTTTTGAAGAGTCCTTTGCACACTGGTTGTAGCTGGTAGGCTTAGCAGCTTTCTTTGGGAATGTAGCTGGCGTTCCAGGTTTAGTAACAGTCAGTTGGGCTATTCCAGGCTGATTTGCAGGTAAATATATCAGGAATCATACTGTGCAGGCTAAAGCTGGATGACACTTGAATTTTTTGAAGTTTAGCACTTACAGTGCCTGTTGCCTGAGGGCATCTGGAAGGAAGTAATGATTTTCTGGAAGAGGAAATGAAAACAGAAGATCATATTTTGGAAATAGTAACCAAACCAGGCCTGAGTAGTGTTTCTTGACCTCCTTCTTTGTGATGAATGGACTTAGGGACTAGGCTCTCCATGTCTTAGGGACCCTTTACATACAGGACACTTCTGTGCTCTTGACATCTGCTATTTCTTCCTTGGTGTCTCCTGCTGATATTCGTTTTCCCAGGTAGACTGTAAACTACTAAGCCTTGGGATAGGTTTATGCTTCACAACTGAGCTCTTGAACTTGGAGCTGAAGGCATGGGTTTGAGTCCTTGTTCACTCATCTCTCAGATTGCCATTGGCCAAGCATGGACTTCTTAGAACCTCTGTATACTCACCTGTCTCAGGGCAGTGCCAAAGCCTTTTCTGGGACAGTCTCTAGTCTGTGCTCTAAGGAACTGCACTGCTATACTGGGTTGGCTGATCTTGCCGTTTTGAACTCTTCCATAGATAAAGTGTTTAGTACAAAGTCCCAGGGCTTAGGGATTGCGAAGTTAGATGCTCGCTACTGCAATGGTGACCTGGACAGCTGGTCTTAGTGGGAACATATTATCTGGCTTGAGCTGCTGATTTTATAGGTGTGGAAACTGAGGGCCCAAGAGGGTTTACTTGTATACTTCCTTGGTTTTAATTTGGGCGTGGGGTTTTGAAAGACTTTTTATGTTTTATTTAACAACTTCCTTTCCCCTCATTCAAGGTATATCTTCCAATCACAGTGATGATTCTCCATATAGTTGGTCTTTTGCACCTTATCATCCTTCCTCAGAGAAATATGAAAACACTAAGGTAAGGCTCTGCAAGGTCCACTAGTCTGAGGAGGAAACAGTTTCTTGTCTAGCAAATGAACTATTATATGCACTAGATACTCTTTTTATACAATTTAATTCATTTATTTATTTTTATTTTATGTGTATGAGTTTTATGCCTGTATGTGTATAAGTGCACTTGTGTCATGCAGTGCCTACTGAGATCAGAAGAGGGCATCGGATCCCCTGGAACTGGAGTTAACAGATGGTTGTTAGCCACCATGGGTGCGATGATTTGAACCTGGGTCTTCTGCAAGAAAAGCCAGTGCTCTTAGCCACTGAGCCATCTCTCTAGCCCTGAATATTATTTTAAGCAGGTTACGCTATGATATTTGTGGCTTTCACCTGTTCTAATGTCTATAGAAATAACTGTTACAGTCTTTAGCATTAGGTTTGATGGGAGCAGCGGGTGATTTTCTCGGATTTTTTGATGTAGTCCAGGCTGTTGTGGAACTTGCTATGAAGATCCAGCTGGCCTCAAAATTGTAATCTTCTTTCCTCAGCCTCACTAGTGCTTCTGGGAGTACAGGCATGTGCCAACATGCCTGACTGATGGGATGTATCTTGTAAAACCTTAAGTTGGGGTCGGGAGATAGCTCAGTTGGTGAAGTGCTGCCTGAAGAAACAAGAGGACCTGAGTTCAATACGTAGCACCCATGAAAAGTCAGGCACAGTGGCATGTACTTGTCATCCCAGCATTGGGCAGACAAGCAGATCCATGGGTCTTGGTGGCCTGCCAACCTACTCTAATTGGTGAGGCCCATGTTCCAGTGAGAGACATTGTCTCCAAAAGCACTGTGGACAGCTTCTGAGGAACAGCATCCAAGGTTGACCTCTGCTTTCCCATGCACCTCCCCATGTATACTGGCACACACACAAATATGCACATGCACACACACAAATAATAATAAAATCATAATCATAAGCAGTGGTGTGTCCAGCTCACTTAATGGATCCTTGGTGCTCAGTCACTCTTGGTGAGGCTCTGAGCTGAAGATTGTAGATTCTGAGACATAGGAGAAGGAAAACCTCAACTTTAGTGACCTCAGCCTAGAATGGGAGGACAGCATGCTCTCTGTCTGTCTTAGCCTCGTGCATATGTTCAACTTCTGAGAACTCTGATAGGGATATTAATATTTCAGAGCATTATGGGGAAAACATATATAAAGAAAGTAAATCTTGGCTTTAAGGAATCCCTAACATAGAAGTGAAACTAAAACCTGCATTTAAGAAACAAAATCAGCTGGAGAATGAAGAAATGATTTTTTTTTTGAGGTTTCTGGAGATAATCCATATTGGAGATGAGGGCTCTGACGTTGGTCTATGATGAGTAGAAGCAGAATGAGATTGGAAGACCCTCACCTCAAAGTTTTATCCTCCCTTCTCCCTCACCTTTCCCTTCCCTCCCTGTCCTTCTGCCCTCTCTCCTCTCCTCCTCCTCTTCTCCGCCTTTTCCTCCATTTTCGCATTCCCACTTAGGGATTGATCCCCCAAAGCCTTCTACATGCTAGGCAAGTGTTCCCCTGGGCTCCATCCCCCAGAGTTGTATCCTCAGCTCCAGTCTTGCTACTTTTTAGTGGCCTCACTTAGAAATGGCAGTCACTCTGCTCTCTTTTCTCTCACCCCCATTCCTTCTCAGAGTAGTGGATCTTATTGTACAAAGTCTCCCTGGAGTCTTCAAAGTCATATGTATATGGAGGGAGAGCAAGTGGTCTGAGGCAGGCACTGGTTTGCTGTGCCCAGTGTTGGGGTGGTCAAGGCAGTCTCTGAAAGGACATCACCCTTTGGGATGGAGCAGTAGCTCACCCAAAACCTGGGTCTTTGTCACATAGAAAAAATGCTCAAAACAGATTTTTGCCTTGTGGTCGGTATGGACATTTTGAAAAACAAAACAGGGGGCTTTGATTCATGCTGAGGAGCTGGAGATTCCAAGGACTTTCTCCTTATCAACCTAACTGGGGATTCTGTCAGAAGTCTTAATCTCTCTTTGAAATTAAGAGAATTGTTATTTTCTTTTAATTTGAAGTATAACTATCATTACATAAGAATCTTCAAATTAAGGTTCACAATTCAGAATTTTTTAAGAATATTCAGCTCTGTAGCCATCACCAAAGTTAACTTTAGGCAATTTTTATCACCCCTGAAGAAATTTGTACCCATCATGATCCATTCCCTACTTCCTCTCAATCTCCAGCTTGTGTAATGACTGTTTTACTTTCTGTACATGTGGATTTGCCTGATCTGAACAATTCATACAAGTAGATTCATTCATAAGATCCGTGTGCATTTCTCTGTAGCTTCTTTCATTTGGCCTGATGCTTCTGAGGTCACTACATCTTTGCCAATACCTATTATTTTCCACAGTTAACATAGTCGTCTTGGGGCTGGAGAGATGGCTCAGCAGTTAAGAGCACTAGCTGCTCTTGCAGAGAACTTGGGTTCGATTCCCAGCACCCACATGGCAGTTAACAACTGGCCATAACTCCAGTTCCAGGGGAATCCTCTTCTGACCTCTGTGGGAATTGCACAACATGGGTACACTTACAATCATACACATAAAATAAAAATAATAAAATATTTAAAAAAAAGACTTATAGCCATCTTAATGGGATCTCTGTGGTATTTTATAGGGATGTTCATTGACATTTACTAATGACTAATGATGTTATGCATATTTACAGGTGCTGTATTGGCCATTTTTATAATTTCCTTGGAGAAACATGTTTTAAATTATTTGCCCATCTTCAACTGACATGCTTTTTTAAAAAAAAAAATTATCTTATCTGTATGAGTGTTTTGCCTGCTTGTACCTCAGTGTACCACATGCATGCAATACCCATAGAGGCCTGAAACTAGAACTACAGAAAGTTGTGAGCTGCTGTGTGGATGCTGGGAACCGAACCCAGGTCCTCTGCAAGAACAGCAAGTATTCTAAACCTCTGAGCTCTCTCCATAGCCCCGTATTTTTTATTATTGAGAATGTTTTTGATAATTAGTTTATTTGGATACCCTTTAATTAGTTCCGGCCTGGAGACAGGATTCACAACACAAAGCTGAATGCTGTGGATTTCTAACGCTGCTTGAGGAAAGAACAAACAGGTTCATTTCTCCTGTTAATTTGCCTGCTTGCTCTAACTTAACACCTCTGGGGCTGGGTGGTATTGTTTAATCTGTGTGTCACTGTCATGACTTGTATATATCACCTTTAAAATACTGATGATAATTGTTTTGAAAGACATGTAGGGGAGAAGACGGAGAACTCCATGCCAACCTGCTTTGCCCTGTGGATATGGCAGATGTACCCGAGGGCACCCTGCCTGACAAGCAGAGTACCGAGGAAGCCATACGATTACTGGAAAAGATGAAAACATCAACTAGTCCTTTCTTCCTCGCTGTTGGGTATCACAAGCCACACATCCCCTTCAGATACCCCAAGGTGAATAACTGGCTGAGGATTGATCCAGTGCAGCCATGATGGTTATGGTGCTTGTTGAGAGAGGCGTTTGTGTAGGGAAGGTGGTCATATTCTGCCATTTCAGTCATCAAGGATGCGGAATGGGCACTAATGCAATTAGTAGAATGATGGGAGTCAAAGTTCAAGGATCTGAAGTAGTCTTGGGGTGTGCAAGAATCTCGTAAGAAATGCTTGGCTTTCTTCGTTCCCCTAGTAGACGTTTGATTTCCTTTGCCTGACCTTAGTGTGCTAATGGGGTTGAATAATGATATCATCATGCAGAGGGGAGGAATAGCCACTAGAAGCCAAAATGGATGGTTCTTGGGAGACAATCCTAGGAGCTATGAAGCCTCCTTTGTTGACTTTCTTCCCTGAGCCTGTCACATTGGACCCTGTGGACACAGAACACTCTGTTGCTTGTTAGAACATCAGATCCTATATTGTTTATGTCATTTAGAATGTGTAGTCCAATCTTTTTTTTTCAGGTTTTCCCTGTCATATTTTCCCTGGGCCCAAGCAGCCTAGCTTTTTCACTTCACAAAGGCTATCTCTTGGTTATAAATGAGAGTACAGACTAGGAGGTATGTTCTTTGATGGTGCATCTACCTTGTTTGATGAGCCTTAGGGAATCTTGCCATCCTATCAGAAACTCTCAGCCACCGTGGAAGAAGCTTGTGAGACTTCCACAAAAACGCCCACAGAGCTGCCTAGATGCAAATCTTTCAGAGGTCTGTTTACAAGGCTGGCCCTTGTCTGGCATCTGGAACTTTGATTTGGGGAGGGCCTGAGTGGTTTTGGCAAACATAATGGTGTATGCTGAATCACTGCTTTCCTTCTAGGAGCTTGGAGTTTTGTAATGAAGCAGGCAGAGTGCCTACATAATGGGCCCCATGTCAAAACTGCGTGCTGCAGTTTTAATGAGCTTGCCTATTTGGAAGCATGTTACATGTACTGTCATTTACCTACCTGGGGCAATCAAGTGCATCCTGTGTGAATTTCCTAGGGAAGGACTCCGGAAGCTTGTCACTGGTTTCCTCATGATTTTGCCTCAGATTCATTTTTTCTTTGCTGATTCTGTTTGCAATTCTTTCACTGTATTAAGGGATCACTATAAATGTGACCTTATGCTGAGCCCTGTGACTTCTAGTGACACACTGAAACTGAGGAATCTACCATACCTTGTCACACCTTTGTATATTGGGAGTAAAGTGGGGAGACAAACAGGAGGTCATCTGTTTGTGAGGGAAGAGAGCAATTGTTGCTTTTAGTAGGTAACAAATTTTAGGATTTCATTGCTGTTGGCATTTTATGAGGGTGACATTATGCAGGGATCAGGTAGGGAAGGTGAATACCTGGGGACCATTAGTGAGCTACCTTTCAAATTCAGCATAGGCATCTAGAAAAGGCAGGCTTGTGCCTTTGTCAAATGAATGACAACCTTGTGGTTTTGTGTGTTTTTTTTCCTACCTAGGAATTTCAGAAGTTGTATCCCTTGGAAAACATTACCCTGGCTCCTGATCCCCAGGTCCCTGATGGCCTACCCCGTGTGGCTTACAACCCGTGGATGGACATCAGGGAACGGGAAGATGTCCAAGCTTTAAACATCAGTGTGCCATATGGTCCAATTCCTGTAGACTTTCAGGTACCTGTGATATTGTTTGCAGATGTATCAGGCTCTGATTGTGTGATGCTATTGATGAGGTCACTTGTGACTTCAAGGCCAACCTGATTACATAGGGAGACCCTGTTTCAAAAATAACAAACAAACAAGCAAGCAAGCAAGCAAACAAACAAACAAAACCTTTGTGCAGGACATTGTGTGAAACTTTGGGTGCTGAGATTCTATTGGTATTGACAGGGGCTATACTATGTGCCTCAGCTTCCAGAGGAGGAAACATCCAGAGAGTTGGTGACTTGTTGCAGGCAGGCATAGAGGTGGGGATATAGCTTGAGTAAATCTCCCTAACTCATGGGGATTAATGTCAGTGACAGCTCATTAATAATAGGAAGCCCACAGCTGTCTAGAAGCCCCACATTCTCACTTTACTGCTACTTTCAGGTCCTCTGTGGGGAAGCCCAAGGTGGCATCTGCCACTCTTAGGGTTGCTGAATGAGGTGGGTTTTGGTACAGAGGGCAGTGGGGTGCCATTATGGCCGTTACTGTCAGCTGTCATGCCTGATATCCCTTTACTGTGATATGGGGGCAGAACAACCTTAGAGTTGTCATTTAATCATGTTGCTTCATCCCCAAGTCTATCCCCCACATGAGTAGAAAAGATATGCTAAGCCACATTCTTTGTGAAGTCTGACCAAATGAATGCTGAGAAGCAGGTGGTACTTGGTAGAAGTAAGTTCCTTGGACTGTCTCTATTAGATTTTCGAAGCAAATCTAAACATACAGGCATCCTTTTTTTTCTTTTCTTTTTCTATTTCTTTCTTTTGTATTGGTGATTGAACCTCATATATGCTAAACAGTGCCCTAGCACTGATCTGTATTCCCAGCCCAGGAGCTAAAGAGGGGGCCCAGGAAGCTGCGTTTTTTTTTTCAAAAACATACCATGTAATTGTGGTGCACTTGATGGTTTGTGAACTGCTACAGAAGAATAGAATTTAAAATGAAGCAAGTCCAACACATGAAAGTTTCATTTGCTGTGCAAACGTGTTTGACCCCTGAGATTATATAGCCAGAGTTCAGAGGTGAGGAGGTGCATTCTTCACAACTGCCAGATATTTGAGTTTCAAATGGCAGTCATGAGAGTTTATTAAACAACAGATGTGGCATTTTATATGTTTGTTCCTGGATTTTGGGTTGCCAGGTCTGATGACAAGATGATTTGAATTAAGGCTATGGGGCTGACTACACCTGACTGAATGCTTAGTGACAGTCACTTAGAATGCTCCTTTGCAATGGCGTGGGTGTCAGGAAGGTATGTAAGCATATGTGTGTGGGCTGGGTGAGAACCTACCACATTGTTGTCAGATGAAAGTGTAGGTAGAGAGCTGTGCAACTTGGTGGGGCACAGAATTGGTGCCAAGTGGAGCTGGTTCAGCCCCATGGATGCTCCAAAGTCCTGTGGTTGCTTTCGTCAGTTAGGAACAGAATTGTTTTGAATTCACTTTCTACTCATGTCAGGTGCATGACCTCTGTCAAGTAACTGTACCACCCCTAGCGCGCACTGAGCTTCACTTTCCTTGTCAAATGGAAGTAGAACAGGTAAAGATTTTCTGAGAGAATAGTGACCTAAGGTTTTCAGTGAGGAGTGTGGGTAATACATGAACGTGTATGGGACCAGTGCCAGCTGTGTGGTGTGATCTCCTTCAAGCTCTGAGTCCTGTCCTCACACTGCTAGCCATTGGACACAGTGGACAGCATGAGCCAGAGAGCCACCTTGCTGAGCTTGCATGGGCATGAGGTTCCACCCTCATCTCCTGTGGAACAGAGCCCTGCTCTCTGGCCTGTGGCAATTCTGGATGTCTGTTCTGAGCTCTACCTCACTCCTCCCTTGACCCTCCCAGTTATGCTTAGACTTGCACCTCCTTGGTCACAGACCTGGTCATGACTCCTTCCTACTTCCTCCTTGCCTCACACTCTCACTGCCTCCCTGCCCCCTCTATCAGGAGGATGGGGCTCTTGGCTCTGTGCCTCCCTTCAATTACAAAGGCCCCATGGCAGGCCCCTCCCTGTTCTTGCCAGCTCTACAGCATACTTGTCAGTTTGCAATACCGTGATCATGAGACAGTCCAGCCAGGAGAGCTGCTGGACAAAACTGGTAGTGCTGCCAAGCAGAGGTTCTCAGCTGCCCTGCTGAGCTCTTCTCTTATCTATTGTGATCCTTCTTCTGACTGATGTTCTCAGCAGGCTCTTTGTCTGCTCGTGTCTTTCCATCTTTGAAAGCACACCCCTCACCTCTGCTTGTTTCTCCTCTCTTTGTGCTCTGCTTCCTCATCACCCTTCAAGGGCAATGAAGAGTGGCCCGCTCTGGCTGCATCCATTCCTTGTCCATTTGTTCTTCATCCCTCTCTGCGTGTGCTTCTGTCTACCTGGCTCACTAAGAGTTCTGTCACCTGGGTGGGCCCTGACCTGGTTGACAGAATTGATCTTCTCAGTCTTGATCTTCCCTGAGATCTGTTCTGCTTTCTGTTTGTTGACCAACTCCAATCTTTCTGGCACTGTCAACCTCCTGGGCTCCCTTGCCAGCATTTCTGGGTTCCCCTCTATTCCAAGTCTCCATGGTAGGGCCCTCCTGTGGCTCCCACTTAGGTTCTGTCCCTTTGTCTGTTTTAGGTCCCTACCTTCTCCTCTCTTCCCGTTCTCCCTAGTGAGCTTCATTTGAGCCCTGCTGGAAAATTAATCTCAGAGTAGGAGCCTAAGCTTCTCTCCTGATTGTGAGACACGCATGTCTAACTTCTTGTAGCTATCCCCAGGTGGATGACTGTAGAGGCCTCGCTCCCCTGCCTTTGTTCCTTTCTCCTCTACTGCATCCACTCCTTCCACATGCCAGCAAATCATGCCATCGGTGAATGTGAGACTTATCCCCCTTGGGTTTCTTATCTTATTCCTATGCCATGCTCCTTGGCTATCTCCATACCTGCTCAAGCAGGTACTACTCCAAATTCCTCTTAGATCTACCCATCCTCTTAGCATGACTTCCCTGACCACTTCAGTGAATCTTCTTTTTTTTTTGTATTTTTGAGACAGGGTCTTCCTTAGAACCCTTGCTGTCCTGGAACTCACAACGTAGACCAAGCTGGCCTTAAACTCACAGAGATCTGCCTGCCTCTGCCTCCCAAGTGCTGGGACTAAAGGTGTGTACCACCACACCAGGCTGTGAATCTTGTTTTTTAAAACAAGTTTCTGTTTTTCAGTTTATTTATTTACTTTATGTGCATGAGTATTTCCTTGCATGCATGCAAGTTCCCCTAGAGCTGGAGTTAAGGATGGTTTTCAGTAGGTATGTGGCTGTTGGGAACCAAACCCAAGTCTGCTGCAAAAGCAGTTAGTGCTTTTAACTACTGAGCCACCTCTCCAGCCTGGAATTTTCTGGGTTTTTGTTTGCTTTGTGACAGGGACTTTCTGTAGCCCTGGCTGCCCTGATACTTGCTGTGTCATCCAGGCTGGCCTAGAACTTGTGGTAATCCTTCTGCTTCCGCTTTCGAAGTGCCAAGACTACAGGCATACATACTATCCCTTTCTGCTTTCTTTCTCTTTCAGCAAGTCTGTTGAGTACTTTGTAGCTGCCAACAGTGGCCTAGTGCTATTTTGTCTAAAGACCCTAGAATCTGAGTTACTGTCACACAGAACTTTTGCTACACTGCAGCTTAGATTACAACATCTCCATGCCTTGAAAGACTGAAGTGACTCCCTTGGCCTACAGCCTGGGAATTCCATTTCCTTCTTGGAAAGACCTCCCAAGTCTGTCATCTGGCCCTAACCTGCTGTTTTGGTGTGTCCTCCCATGTTACTGCATAGCTCTGAGCATGACCTATTCTGTCAGGACTGCACACTTGTATGCATTACAGCTGCTATTTTTGAGTCTCTTAGCTTTGCATGATTGCAGTGGGAACTCCTCTGTGAAGCCTTCCCAGACTTCTTCAGGCCAATGTGAGGGTTCAGTCACCTGTCTCAACCCTGGCTCTCTCTAATAATGTGCATGTTTTCTTATCTCTGTGTTTTTGTCCTATTGCTTTAGGGCTGACAACTGTGTATCTTCTTATTGCTTTTCATTCCGTGGGCTAACATCAGCAGGAGAGGTCTTGATCCCCAGGAGGACTAAGTTCTCCAAGTTCCAGAATGAAAACTTGATTTACTAAAAAGTATAAAGAAGTAGAGCTTCATCATAATCCTTCTGTAAGCATAGATTGTATCACTGCAAACAGAGGAAGGGATAAGTCTCCTGACAGTCCTTATCTTAGTAGAGAAGAAGCAGCTGACTGATCCAGCTGATAAGGCAGGGCCCAGAGGGTGGCAGAAGATGGGGCTGATCTGATAAGTGGCTATCTTGCTTCTCACCACTTAGGGGTGTGGGGGAGTAAAAATAATTGCCATTATCATATTTTGTGTTAAGGCTGTGAACAAGGATGGGGTATCAGCAGGAATGGATGATGGCTCCTTTACATGAGGGTATGGACTGGCAGTCCCTAAAGTCCCTCTTGGCTTTAGGCACTTGGATGGTTCTCCTGGTCCCCATGGCTTTGTCACTTGCTGAAAGATTGTTACCAATGAGTTGATACTTGATAGCCATGATCCTTAAAGTTAAGCAACTGTCATTTGTTGCTGGGTTATGAAATTCAGAGGAAAGGCAGGGTCATTGCTGTGAGTTAATTTGTATCCTCCCAAAAGATAAATTGAAGTCTTAACGCCTATAGCTCAGAATGTACCCTGACTTGGAAATAGGGTCTTTGACAATATAGTCGGGTAAGATGAAGCCATCGTGATAGGCTGGTGTCCTGATGGGAATGAGGTGGGGTGAGGAGGACAGAGGCAGAAACAGACACAGGAAGATGTGAAGTTGGAGGCAGAGATTGGAATGACAGCTGCAAGCCAAGGAAGCAGCTCCAGGCTTCAGAGACAACACACTCAATACTGTGAATTCCATTTGGGAGGCAGAGGCAAGTGGATCTCTGTGAGATAGAGGCCATCCTTGTCCACACAGTGAGTTCCAGGGTAGATTGGTCTGTAGGGAGACCCTGTCTCAAAAAGATAAAAAAAAAATAATGCCTGATTTCAGATTTCTGTCATCCATGGATGAGCTAGTTTCTAGTGTTTCAAGCTACCCAGAGGCACTAATGCAGCTGAATGGTCTCTTTGGCACACCCCTCATCAGAACATGTTGCAACTCTGGGCACACAAGTGTGAAAGGATCAGTTTCTGTGTACATGTTCATTTACAGGGACTGGACAGAATATGCAAAGTAGGCCAAAAGGGACAGTGACATCCATCTGCCATGATCTGCGCCCTGAAGCAAAAGCCGGTTTGCTTTGAAACATGTTAGTTTAGCTGTACAGATTGTTTGGTTGGCTGCTGCAGGCAAAGGGATGCAGACAGTACGGAAAAGACTGCTAGGTTTAGGCTCAAAACATCATCAAGGTCATAGGGGGAGGGGCTGAGAGTGGATGAGATGGTCAGGTAGATGTTTTTCTCTATGCCAAGGCAATTGAAATTGCCCTCCCATTTCTTCCCCTCCCTCCGTCCCTCCCTCCGTCCCTCCTTTCTTTTCTCTTCTCTCCCTTCCCATCCCCTCCCCTCCCCTCCCCTCCCCTCTCCTATTTTCTATTTCATCTACAGCGGAAAATCCGCCAGAGCTACTTTGCCTCCGTGTCCTATTTGGATACTCAGGTTGGGCGCCTTTTGAGTGCTTTAGATGATCTTCATCTGGTCAACAACACAATTATTGCATTCACCTCTGATCACGGTAAGTATTTCTTGAAATTCTCTGGTGAGTCCCTCAAAGCATTTGAATTTCCTATGAAACCTGCTTTTACAAATGATTTTTTATATATAATGCATGCACTGGTGTGCAATCAGCAGCACTCAGAGTCATGGATGGTGGAGTGCTTTTATGAGCTACTTGGTAGTTCTAGGCTCTCTGTCTTCGCTATTTGAGAATGGAGGCAGGTTTGGGCAGGATTACTACAATTTCTTTTTTCTTGGGTATTTCAGCAGGAACCTTGCTTTTATGTAAAGGAGGTATTTTGTTTTGTTTTATTTTGTCTTTGTTTAACATTTAAAAAGTATTTTATTATTTATATTTTATGTGTATGTATGTGTTACCTGCATGTGCATAAGTGCACCTGTGTTGTGCAATGCCTACAGAAGGTTAGAAGAGGGCGTCAGATCCCCTGGAACTGGAATTACGGACAGTTGTTAGCTGCCTTGTGGGTGCTGGGAATCGAACCTGGGTCCTCTGCAAGAGCAGTTAGTACTCTTAACCACTGAGTCATCTCTCCAGCCCTGTCTTTAATATTTTTTAAAATTAATCTTTAAGTTTAGCTTACACAGTTATGGGTTTCATTACAGCAGTTTCAAATATATATGTCATTATGTATTGTTCTAATTAATGCCTGTCCTCTACTCTCCTCTGCTGTACCCTCTGCTCCTCCTCTGGCTGATTGCTTGCCTCTCCACTTTCTGCTTTCTTGCCACATGTATTCTACTGTCTTCTCTTTTTCTCCATCCCGTTAAGATTTTTTGCTCTAAGGGAACCCTTTCAGTTCCCATGTCTAACCTTGAGGATTGGAAGACATTTACTTTTTCTTGGGAAGATCGACAAGAATCCCATGAGAGCCCAGCAAGACTCCCAGATCTGACTTACCTATCCCTACGACCGTCTCCACTCTTCTTTCTGCTCAGAGTCTGGGCTTCTCAACTCCAATCTCTACTGAAGCTATTTCCCTATTTTAAAAACTGTCAACACTGCCAAGAGCAAAAAATCAAATAACAGTTTGCCACAAGAACTGACACGAGCGGCATTCTTGTTCTTCACCCTTACCCACTTCGTCTGCCCCAGATTGTTTGGAAATAAATGGAGATACTCTACTGCTTCTCACCACTGTCCCTGAACATTGCCACTTAAGTAGAGCTGTAATTCCACTACACAGCTAGAACGAGGAAAGTAGTTTATATGATTAAATATGAGATGGAGATGGAACAACAGTAAAATTATAACATGTACTCATTGTGAAAAGAAAGCCATATAGAGAACGCCTATAGAGAGACCATCTGTTGCAGGACCACGTGCCCTGTACTGTGATGCTACCTTCCAGAGTTGAGTAACGGGACACTGTCTGCCAGCCATTAGTTGCGTGCTATTTATGTCCATGCATATGGTGTATAGCATATCATAGACAGTTCATTGTGTTTTGTGTTCTTTCTCTTGTTTTGTCACTTAATGTCATAGACATTTTTCTGTCATTCCTCACAGATGTAAATGTTCCCTTGTAGTAGTCTATTCTATTTCATTACACATGGAAGCGCTGTAATTTTTCCCATATTCCTTTTTAAAATAATATTTTATTTTGTGTATGAGTGTGTTGCCTACATGTGTGTAAGTGCACCTGTGTCATGCAAATGCCCAAGGAGGACAGAGGAGGCATTGGATTCCCTGGAACTGGAGTTACAAATGGTTGTTAGCCACTGTGTGGGTGCTGGGAATTGAACTTGAGTCCTCTGCAAGAGTAGTCAGTGCTCTTAGCTTCTGAACCATCCCTCCAGCCCCCTATATTCCTGATGATCTGTCATGTCATCTAATTCAGACCCTAAATCTCAGTATGTTCTTCTATCCTTTCTTTTGCTATCTTTTTAAGGTAGGGTCTCACTCCATGGCCTAAACTGTTTTCATAATTGCACCAGACCTCCTGCCTCTGCCTCCCAAGTGGGATTACAGGTATGTGACACCACACCTAGTCTTGATTTTTCCTTCCTTCCTCCATCCCATCCTCCTTCTTTTCCTCTTTTCCCCCCTCCCTTCCTCCCTCCTTCAGTACATTTTGAGACAAGCTCTTGCTATGTATCTTAGGCTGACCTATAACTCCCTGTATAGCCCATTTAGCTTCATATTTTCAAGATCCTTCTGCTTCTGTCTACTGAGTGCTGGGATTAGAGGTGGGTACCATGATGTCCAGTTTGCATCTTCCTCTTTTAAAAACTGGATCTCATTGTACTCTGGGGCAATAGCAGTTGATTATAGATGTCCATCTCAAAGTACCTCCCGGGATGTCCTATGTCAGATATGCTAGAGATTTGGGAAGAAAGGGCTTCTTAAATAGTTTCCAATCATAACCTCTTTTCACTGGAGAAATTTTTACCTCCAGATGTGTAGGAATATAAAATACGACATAGAGCATTTTCAACATTTTTCACAGTTGACTGATAAATTTTGATTTCATAATTGTCAATGCCTAATATGCAATTTCCATGAATATATAATACAATATAGCATAAGTATATTTTATGGCTATTTCAGAAATTGTTACAAATTCTATCCTGATCTAAAGCCAAAATTATAATTTTTTTATTTTTTTATTTTTTTATTTTTTTCTTTATTTCTTTCAGTGGGTGTGTAGTGTTTGGGTGGGGGGTAGATTATATGAATGCAGTGTGCAGGGGTGTGGAGACCAAAGAAGGTCTTTGGGTGTCCTATTCTATCACTGCCAACCTTATTCCCTGGAGACAGTGTCTCTCACTAAACCTGGAGCTGCGTTAGCAGTCAGTAAGTCCCACTGATCCTCCTTTCCTACCTTACCGCCCACAGACTGGAGTTATAGGCACACATGTCCATATCCAGCTTTTTATGTAGGTGCTAAGGTTATGAATTTGGTGAGGTCCTCGTGGTTCCACAGCAAGTGCTCTTATCTTCCAAGCTGTTTTCCCCACCCCACCAACCTAAAACTGATTCAGTGTTTTTTTTTTTTTTTAAATGAAACTCAAACCGACAATTCAAACAGCAGTTTTCAAAAATGAAACATTTTAGCACATCAAATCCAAGGACAGACCAAATTGATGCTTTCATGCTGTGGAGTGATGATGGGAAAATATGATAAATCTTTGTTTCCTGTTGTTAAAGCATTGCTTTTCTGGAAGAGCAGAAACCTCTGTATGTACAGTACAAACACGTCCTTCATAGCATACAGTCATCTTATAACTTATGTCAGGTTCATAAGTTGTATGTTCAGAAGCAAGGTCACAGGGAAGTTGCACATATGGTAGGCTTCGGCACTCTTGGAAAGACCTTAGATTCATCATACATAGGAATTTTGGTTGGTGGTTGTGTATTTAGAAACCTTTCACTGTTGCAAAATTTTTCATAATCCCATTTGGGGCCATGACCCACAGTTTAAGAAGTTGTATGGTAAACATGCCAACTGAGCATCTGCTTAGGGGGTTACAAGATTGGCGATGGGGGCTTGCAGCTTAACAAGAACCTCAGGTGGTCTTCTAGCTCATTTCCAGGACCATCCTGTGCTGCCTTGTTCTCGTCTCAGACCTTGTCCTTATCCCAGCCAGCAACTTTCTGAGCTGCCTGTCAAGATTCTCTATCTCGTACTGTACCCTCAGGGTGGTCACGGATATGTGCTCTTCTTTTACACATATTTGTTTCTAGCTACAGCAGCCTAGACTGAATTCTGTAGAACCCTAATGAAAGAATATATTTATGTAGCCAGGAGCTATTAAGTAATTTTTGTCTACACACGAATGTATGATATGTCTTTAAAAAGAGCAAGATGTCCTTTTATGTAAAGTTCCACAGCTCATTGGTTGTACAGCCTCAATGTTAAGAACTTAAAGCTGTGACATGAGTCAAGAGACAGACACAGGACAAGGTAGTAAGTAGAAGCACTACCGTGTGGGGGGAAGGCCCTGTGATTCAGGTGTTCTCCCCTCCTCAGTGCAGTGGAGTAGAGTGTATGTGCTTACTATGCACCAAAGTATGAGAACATTCCTGTTTTGGCAGGACAGGCATTTGGGGGGGCTCTTAGATAAAACTAAATGAGTATATGAATTGCTAGTTGCTTGGATTTGTGAGAGAGGGTCTCCCTGTAGCCCCAGCTGGCCTGGAATTTGCTGTGTAGACCAGGCTGGCCTCTTGCCTCCTGAGTGCTTGGGTTAAAAGTCAATGCCACCACACCTGGCTGCTAGTTTATTGTTAAAAGAAGATATTGGGGGCTGGAGAGATGGCTCAGTGGTTAAGGGTACTGACTGCTCTTGCAGTGGACCCGGGTTCAATTCCAGCACCCACGTCGTGCCTACGAAGTGTCCTTAACTTCAGTTCCAGGGCAGTCTGAAGCCCTCTTCTGACCTCCGTGGCATTGCACGACACAGGTACACACACATACATGCAAGCAATACACTCATATACATAAAATAACAGTAATAAATAAAATATTTAAAAAATAAGATATTGTAGTCTGGGAATTTAAGATGCTCATTTTTACAGGTTTCTTCTTTGTGGACAGATGTGTGACTTTGAATAAAGCAGCATTCCTGTGAAATCACCCTTTTGTTGTTATCGTAGACAAATATCCTTAGGTTGATGAGCTTTGCTTTCCTCTGGCCTTTACATTGAGAAATGAAATAGTATCTAAAGTAAACAAGCCATAATATAATTATTCATTTTCTTTCATTGTGTACTTTTTATGGCCCAGGGTGGGCTCTAGGTGAACATGGAGAATGGGCGAAATACAGCAATTTTGACGTCACTACCCGTGTGCCCCTGATGTTCTACGTTCCTGGAAGGACGGCTTCGCTTCCTGGAGCTGGCGAGAAGCTTTTCCCTTACCGCAGTCCTTTTGATCCCACCTCAGAGTTGATGGATTCAGGTATAAAATACACAGACGTGATAATGCAAAACCAGTAAGAATACCTTTAGTTTCCATGTGAAAAACCTCATCAGGTAGCCTCTTGCTGCGTGTTGGACTTCCTTCCCAGCATTGTAGTCGCCATATATTTCTTAACACCTCCCATGCTCTGATTTGGGAAGGCATGACAGAGCCAGAGCTCACTTGGCCACTGTACATGGGGAGCTTTGGAGGGCAGGGGACCAATGAAACAGGTGACATTCCCAAGGCAGGGAGGGCTGTTTTAGAGGTGACAGGAGCATGCCAGACCTTAGAGGGAGAGGCTGTAGACTGCTGGGGCAGAGTCTTCTCAACAGATGAGTTAAGTGCTTAACAAGTATACTTTTGGTGGGTACTCAGGCATTACAGAGGGACATATTGTCCATTTTGGAGCTCCTTGACCTACTGAATCACTGGATGTACAAAATGTACCATGATAATTGTGCTCTGTGCTTGAGTAGTGAAGGGCAAGCTTCCTTTGATTTCTTCATACCATTTCTTCAAAAACAGATACTTTTCTTGCTTGTGTGAAGTGATGGGTGCGGGTTCTTGTGAGCTGTTTCCTGACTTTATCTGCCTAGTGGATTTTCAGACATTCACTGTATACTTCACATGGCATTTGCTCTTGTCAGAATGCTTTCACCATGAGCTGTGCTAAACTGGGGTGCCCCTTTTCTGGGCTCATGAATTTAATTCATCTTTAGCACCTGTCTTGTATGTTATATTCATTCCTGTGTAAATTAATTTTGGTTTTAGATAATCATTCTGGCCCTTTTGGATCTTTGAGTTTGGTTATATTATCCAGTTTTCTTTTTGCACATTTAAAGCCCAGATTTCTATCCCTGGCACTGAAGAAATGAAGATCAAAGCCCAAAACAAAACTTCCAAAATGCAGAACTGCTCAGGAGCTTCTTGCTTCCATCTCACTAACTAATGTCTTCACAGTGGCTAACAAGGCCTTACATGGCCGCATTGCCCCTTCATTTCATAGAATTCTTCTCAGCAAGTATCCAGGTCCATCTTTCTGTGCTGTGTCTCACAATAGGGTAAACATTTTTTTCAGTAATGTACACATGTGATGTTGTGTCCTCTACTGTTACAATGGTGCGTGAGAGCCATTTCCTGGGGTGACGCTACACACACACACACACACACACACACACACACACACACACATGTGAGGTTGTGTCCTCTACTGTTACAATGGTGTCCCTCTGGTGCAAGTCCAACTTGGTGAACCAGTGAGCTTTTATTGGGTTTAATAAAAGGTGTCTGATTGAGAGGTTACTTCTAGAAAGAGCAATGATTAGAAAGCAGCCGTATTACCAAAAACCCCACTCTAACATGACTGGCAACTCATAAACTCACAACTCACAGGCAGCTCGACGGGTCTAAGAGATCTTTTCTGGACAGCTTGAATGGTCAGAATCTTCTCCTTCAGAAGTTGTTCATTGCTTCTACAAAGCTGGGGAGAGGCCTTCCAGAATCTTAGAAGTTTCTGTCTTCCCAGACATGTGAAGTTTTGTTTACCTCTGGAGTCTCATGAACATCCCTGCCCCTCCATCAGGGAATATTTTAATTCAGAGGAAATGCCATGCGGGTGGATGTATTATTAGTTTGATCCGTTTGTTAAGGTGGCAACATCAGGCAGATTTTTCCACTGGAAAATATCTTTAAAAAACACCAATAACACGTTTCTTTAATGAATTTCCTTTTTATTTTGATTGAAAATTAAATGTTCAGAAAATGATACTGGGCATTTATAAAGCCAACTCTTATCTCTACAGAAAGGCTGGAGGCATAGTACAAATCCAAGATCAGGTTTTTCTTTTTCAGACAAGATCTCTTGTAATCCATACTGGCCTTAAACTCACTGTAGAAACAAGAATGACCATGAACTCTGACCTTCCTACCTCCACTACCCTAGTGCTGGGATTACAGGCATGCACCACTGCTCTCAGCTCTGAGATAAGAACAGTTTTTAAAAGGAATCAATACATGTGCAGGATTTAGATTGTAAAGCTAGATGGACTACAAGGACATGTGTGTGGAGAATTGAAAGTCTTATACATTGTCAGTATGGATAGTAGTTTGGTGGTTCCTCAAAAAGTTAAGCATAATTACCTTATTATTAAGCAATTCCACTCCTAGGCACATACAGAAGTGAAAACAAATATTCAGTCAAAAATTTGAAGATGAGTGTTCATCACAGCACTATTCAGAATAGGCAAAAGGTGGAAGCAATCTTTGTGTCCACCCATGAATGGATGTATACAATGTGGTATACACATACAGTAGAAGAGTTTTCAACTCAAGGAAGAAAATTCCAACACATGTTATAGCATGGATACATGCTGAGGAAATTATGTTAAGTTAAATAAGCCAGACATGGGCCTGAAGAGGTGGCTCAGTGGTTAAGAACACTGTTTTTGCAGAAGACCCAGTTTCGAATCCCAACACCCACATGGCAGCTAACAACTGTCCATGACTCCAGTTCCAGGGGATCCTACAGTGTCTTTGTCCTCCGCGGGCATTGTACCACACAGGTGCACTTACCTACATGCAGGCAATACATGCATACACATAAAATAAAAATAATAAATAAAATATTTTTAAATAAGCCAGACGTAAAGGATCAAATGTTGTCTGAGTCCACTCATGTGAAATATCTATAGTAATCAAATTCATAATGATAGAAAGTAGACTAGGTATTTGCCAGCTGCAGGTGGTAGAGAAATGGGCAGCTGTTGTCTGCTGTTACTGAGGTGCTGAGGTAGTGGGGGCAGAGGCATAAAATGGACTATGGAGGTGATGGTGAGTACATGTAATACCACTGAAAAATGGCTAAGACTGTGATTTCATGTTTTGTGTGTTTTGCCATATTAAGAAGAAAGGATGAATCAAATGTAAATATCTAGAAATAAGTAATCTTAACAGAGTTTTACCTATTGGTTACAGCTTTAATTGTTTAAGCTTGCCTGCATCAATTATTTGCTTCCAAAATTCAAGAAGTTTTTTTTTTTTTTTTTTTTTTTTTAGACAGCATTTCCCATAGCCTCAGCCAGCCTGGAACTCACTGTGAGTTCCACAGAGATCTGCCTGCCTTTGTCTCCTGAGTACTGGGATAAACGGTGTGGGCCACCACGCCTGGTGTTCAAGTAATTGTAAATGTTCCAACAGACTGGAAACACCATAATTTTACATCCTGCTACTGCTTCGAATAAACAGTGAAAGGTGAAGTGCTGAGGTGGTAGCATTTCTGAGTTTCTTTTGATAGAACTAGGTGTTATAAACAAAATGAAACAAGAGAACGAGTGGCACTCAAAGCCCTGTTTGGGACGGCTTCTGTAGTGCACTGCATTCACCTCTGACAATTCTTCTTCCAGGCAGGCACACTGAGGACCTTGTGGAACTTGTATCTCTCTTCCCCACACTTGCTGGACTTGCAGGACTGCAAGTTCCTCCTCGTTGCCCCATTCCATCGTTTCATGTTGAGCTGTGTAGGGAAGGCCAGAAACTTCTGAAGTATTTTCAACTCCATGACTCGGAAGAGGATCCATACTTCCATGGTAATCCCCGGGACTTGATTGCCTATAGCCAATACCCCCGGCCTGCAGATTCCCCTCAGTGGAATTCTGACAAGCCAAACTTAAAAGATATAAAGATCATGGGTTACTCTATACGCACCATAGACTATAGGTATACTGTATGGGTTGGCTTCAATCCTGGTGAGTTTCTGGCTAACTTTTCTGATATCCATGCAGGGGAACTGTATTTTGTGGATTCTGACCCATTGCAGGATCACAATGTATATAATGATTCCCAGCATGGAGAACTTCCCCAGTCATTGAAGCCTTGAGTTTTACCAGCCATAAAGGGCACATGTATCCCCTTTCCCCTTCTCATTTGTGAAAGGGCACATTAGAAATGGTTTTCATTTCCCATAGTATTGGACCCAACCTCAGTGGAAAATAAGAAAAATGCATACATCAGAAATTTGACCTAAGACTACGTGACAAACCTTTTAATGCAGTCCTTACCAATTTATGGTTGAAAACTGAATTTAGACTTGGCTAAACTCTTTCATTTTTTAGTGATTAAATGAGTACAAATTGAACTAAGCAAAGTAACATCATATCTTTGTATATAAAAACCATGATAACAAAACATAATACTATATTGTAGAAATACTTGTAGAATTTAGTGCATTTCAAAAGTATACATATGTTGAATTAAGTTTGAGCCTAAGGTCCTGGATATTTTGTTTGTTATATATATGTAGGTCAGTGTAGTGAAAATGTATCAGTGTGTCAACATGAGATTCATTTCTTTCTCAAATGTGAAATGAATAATTCTAGAACCAACTACTTAAAGTCTATCTTCAACTTTTGTTTCTAAGACTACAGATTTCAAAATCCAAAAGTGAAATAGACATGAAATGATTGATATGTTGTTTCATCGTTAAATAATAAATAACGCTTACTAAAGTAGAGGCAGATGGGTAAGAAATTCAGTTAAAATATTTCAGTACCCTCTGGACCAGATAATAATTTGCCACTAGATAATATAACTCTTGATTTCAATGACTGTTAAAAAGTTGTTAGTCACAACAAAAAACATTTAAAAATGTAACTGCATTCATGATTTCAGTCCTCAAAGTCGTATTAGTATTCTTAGTTAAAGAATTTCAGATATCCATTTATCCTGGGGGCAAGAAATATTCCACTTTTACTGGTTATTAAAGGAAATATGGGATTAATGAAGTTTAAAGTATTTTGAGAATTTTGAGTTCTGAAGTCCTGAAATACGAAAGCAACCAGAGAAAGGCAGGTGGTAGGAATAAGCGGAGTTTACCGCTTCTTCAAAGAAACAGAATATTTACAAGTTGTGTGCATAACGTGAAGCTGATCAACCATCAGTAGTCGACAGCTTTCTAAATATGCCCTATAGTTAGTCCTGCATCAAAATGAATGATTTTAGTAATTTTCCCTTCATAAATGTGTCGGTGTTTCAAGGTGAATGTCTATGCATCAAAATATAGCAAATAGCTAATTAGATTAAATTATTGCATGCATTAAATTGTAAACAGAAAGACAAGGTATTACTTTTAAGACAGATTGTTTTTACTAATTGGCCTTTAGAAGAGGTGTAGATGATAACACAATGGTTTCCTGAGTGACTGTGTTAGCAGAAGTGATTTGTGTTTCAGGATTGGTGGCCCATTCATCTGCATGATTCCAAAATTTGTCTGCTCTGGAAACTTTGACTTTTGTAGATCATTTCCTTTGGCTTTTCCTTGTTCTTTATCTTCTCTATTGCTCTTGTTCCATTCACTGTAGTTTTCACAATCTAGCTTAGGAGTTCTTCATACATATTTTCATTTTCTTTAGCTTTATCTCCTAGTTCACACGTACAGGGACAAATTTTGATATAGGTTTTTATTTTACAAACATTTGTTGCTCCTGATTGATTACAGCATATACACTTCATTTTTTTCTCATTTTATTTCCAGAAGTGCAGTTTAGTGTCAAACACTTCCACATTCTGCACCTGATGAACTTGTAGGCCTGATGCTGCTGTCTGCTTGATAGCCACTGGGGCTATGTGGCTATTTAAATTTCAGTTCATTGAAATGAAATGAAGTTTTCGAAGATTTCTCATCCTGTTATAATTCAAGTACTCAGTAGCCAAACATAACTTTTGTGTCATAATAGAAAAGTTCTGTTGGACAGAGCTTCCTTAGATTATGTCTGGATTGGAGTTGGGTCTGCTGACTCAGACTGGCAAGGTCCCACTGCGACCTATGCCCTGCATTTGCCCATAGAATGTGTGTTGAGGTGTGCAAGCTCTGTTTGGCTTAGACACAGAGTAGGGAGTTTGCTGTGGCCCTTGGCCTCTTCCTCTCCACTCTCATTGCCATCGCCTCTCTCCTTTTCCTCTCATTCCTAAGTAGTTTTCCTCCCTTCCTTTTTCCTCCCCTGTTCCTAAAGGAATCCATGTGTCTTCCTAAAATCCCTCTTGACCCTGCCCTTTGAGAACACCGTCAGTGCCTACTATGGGTCTAGAAAGACCTCCGCTGAGCAGTCAGAGTCTTCCCTGGCTCCACAATGCCCCTTCCCTTGGCTGACTCTCCCTCGCCAATCCCTGCCTCCCTGGCCCTCCTAGGTTGTGCCCTCTCTTCTTGGCCCCAGTTCCTTCATGGCCATTCTTCACAGCCTGGCGCCCCCACCCCCACTGCCAAGAGGCTGAGGCCTTTGGGACTCTAGACTGTATTGTCAGGCGAAATGAACACTTCTAAAGAATCTGGTATTTACTTTACTTTTTAAATGGTATTTTTTCTGTTTATAAAATTCACGTGCTAATTACAGAAAAATTAGAAAACATGCAGTAAAAGGCGAGAAAATGTGTGAATGTGTTATTCTGAGATCATCAATTAATATCTTGTCTTTTTGGGGAATATGAATTTTTGACATTTCTATGATCCTATGTTCTTTATAATACAATTTCTGTTCTTATTTCCTCTGGTAAGTATTATGTGTGGTTATTATGGATTTCTGCAAAGATACTTTATATTGCTGGTAATATATTTTATTGTGTAGAGTTATTGTAATTTACTGAACATTCTTTCAATTGTTGGAAATTTAGGTTATTTCCACATTTTCAGTATTACACATAGTGCTGTGATCAACATTGTGAGTAAAATGCTTTATGTATTTCAAATTATTCCCTTCAGATAGTCTGTCAGTGCCAAGTTATCAACACTGTCTCCATTGGCTCCTCATCCTTTTGCTGCTGTAGGGTACTAAATTTATAAAATAAAATAAAGCCAGTAAACAAATAAAAACCACAACACCAAGAAAAACAAAACAAAACACTGCACTCCTACAATAGGTGAAAATGGCATCCTGTTTTAACTTGTGGCTCTTTGCTTATTTAGGACCTTAGCCCACATTCTCTCTGTGTGATTTGGGCATGTACATTTCTAGCTATATGAATTTGTGTGGTTATGGCTCTCAGTTTTTAATGTAATCAAACAAATTGTTTCTGGTGTGATTCCCCCGCCGTGTGTTTTCCTATTAAACATAAAGAAACCTCACATGGAAACTGAATAAACACTTGTTTTCCTCTGAACATTTTGTGGTTTGTTTTTATATTAACCCTGTCTGTCCACCTAAGAGTAATGTATGCTTGTGTGAAATTTTGAAAAAGTAAAAAATGATAAAGATGGAAAGAAGCCTACTTTCTTAGTTTCTTTTTTCTGTTGATGTGATAAAATATTCTGATGAAAGCCACATAAGGTAGAAAGGGTTTATTCAGCTTACTGTTCCATACAGTTCATCATGATGGGGAAGCCAAGGAATCAGGAGCTCGGAGCACCTGGCACATTATATCCACAGTCAGAAGAAGAGAGAAATGAATATGCTCATGCTAGTGCTAAGTTCACTTTCTCCACTTACACAGTCCAGGGTCCTTGGGCAGGTAATGGTCCTGCCCACAATTAAGATGGGTCTTCCACTATAGGAAGCAGAGGTGATGGAAGAGTACAGTGAAACAGTGTTTTCCTGTAGGAAACCAGGATGCCAGGCCCTAGGATGAGGTGAGCCTAAAACTTAGAGGTCCAGGCTGCATTCTCTGCTAAAGGGAGGGCACTGAAAACAGTGGCTCTGATAATCCCTGCCTTGGAGAACGCTGCTAGGCTGGCAGGAGGAAGCAGCCCTGTCATAAAAGTGCAGGCTCCCTGCTCTGTGGGAAAGCATCTTGGTCAACAACCCTTAGCTCATTTCCTTGTCCTGAACAAATAATTCAGCTATCCCTGGCTAAGAGATTAGGCCAGGTTAAAGGTTTACTCCTGAGCTAAAAGCTAAAAGTTCACCATGCTTTTAGCTCTAAGAAAGAAAACATTGTGGCCAATAAATTACTGGATGGGCATTGATAACCTTGAGTAAAATTCTTTGTACCCTAAATCTTTGTATGTGACTGCCATATCCCACGTGACTGCTAGTTCCTTGGGATGTATAAAAACCATCTGAATTCTAAAATAAATCATCCTGTTGGGAAGACACAGGTCCCAGAGTTTGACTCTGTTGCTGATCAGACCCTCTGCCCCGAAGCCAGCAGGTCCCCCGCTAAGCAAAGCAAACCTGAGGCCCGACATTTTCCAGGCAAAACATGATGGTTGCACATATGAACTCGCATTTGTGGCAGCATGCACAGGACCTGTGCATGCTCAAGCCAGGCGAAAATCCCACCATGGAGAGGAGGTGGTTGCAATGTTCCACCACTAGCAAAGCAGCTTTTGACAATTGATAGCTGGAAGAGGAAGAGTCAGTTTATTTTTTAAGAGTGTGGCCCCTGGTAGGTCAACCATACTGCAGTGGATAACTCCACACCCAAGAGTATGTGGGCAGCATAAATTGGACTCCATGGGTTCGAAAAAAATGTCATAATGTTGGGTGGGTAGGAAAGGGGGGTGGAACTGAGAGGAGTTCAGTGAGAGTGTAAATATGATCAAAATACCTTATAAGAAATTCTTAAAGAACTAATAAACATGGGGAAGAAAGAAATGAAGGGTATTCCCACATCAATTAATATAGTCAAGATAATCCTTGCAGGCATGATGGTCCACACCTTTAATCCCAGTACAGGAGGCAGAGAGAGGTGGATCTCTGTGAGATTAAAGCCGACCTGGTCTACATAATAAGTTCCAGGCCAAATGTGGCTACATGGAGACTCCATCTCAAAAAGACAACAACAACAACAAAAATCCCTCACATGTACGCCATGAGGTACATCTCCCTGGATTTTGTCAAGTTGACAACACTAAGAATCACACCCTGTAGAATATAGCTAATGTTGATCGGGCATAGTGGCACATGCCTTTCTTTAATCCCAGCACTTGGGAGGCAAAAGCAGGCACCTGTGTTGTGCAAAGCCTGCAGAAGCCAGAACAGTGTCAGATTCCCTGGATCTGCAGTTAGGAATGGTTATTAGCCACCATGTGGGTCATGGGAACCGAACCTGGGTCTTCTAGAAGAGCAGTCATTGCTCTTAACTGCTGAGCCATCTCACCAGCCCACTGGATGATTTCTGTTAAAGAGAAAATATATTTTTTCCTTATGAGAAATAATTACATAGTTATCATAGAAAAATTGGGAAAATTTACAATGGCAAAGAAAATCTAAACCAGGCCTGTTACAGCCTTGGAATCCTAGCTGCTTGGGAGGTTAATGAAGGAGAATCATAAGTTAAAACCCTACCTGGGCTACAGAGTTCAAGGCTTGCCTGGGTCATTTAGTTAGACCCTGTCTCAAGATTTACAGAAGGTAAAAGATAGGGTTGGAGATATAACAAAGTGGAAGGATGCTTGTTTATCATGTACCAAGGCTCAGAACAACTAACAATACAAAACAATAACAAGAAAAGAACTATAACCACTGTTTAGTTTGTGTAGCTCTTCTTTAGTGCAGTATATTGAAAAATTGGTCATGGGGCTGGAGAGATGACTCAGCGTCAAGAGCACTTCCTGCTCTTCCAGAGGATCCAACTTCAGTTCCCAGTATTCACATGGTGTCTAACAACCATCCATAATTCCAGTTTCAGGGAAATTTGATGCCCTCCTCTGACCTCCACAGGCACTGCCCAATATGGTACACTTACACACATGCAGGCAATATACTCATACACATAAAAATCAATAAAAATATTTTACAATTTGGGTCATATTCTACCTCATGTTTATTTCCTACTTTCTATTTTTATAATGTTTTTCACTTTTCATGATTCCCTTTTTTCCTTTCCTGTGTCCCTTTGCTTTCTCCTACTGCATACTTTCTAAGGGCTTCCCAACTCCAAATTTCTAGAACACACTAATCAGGAACGTTTCCATGAGGCTTCTCTCCTGGAGGACATAACTAGGAGGGCCTGAGTTTCCTTCCCCTGTCATGACCTCTGGCCATGGGGATATGTTTACAAGCTTAACACAGAGGCTCCTGCTCTTCACAGCCTTCAGCTTCATGGCCATTTGTTTCCAGTGTAGCTTGGCTGGATAGGCTAGAAAACTCTACAAGGCATAGAAATCCACTGGTAGACCCTGTTGACTTTTGCCTCTGGGCACACACATCTAAATTCCCATCTCCACCCAGTCCCCAGTTTCATTCTGTGTCACCACCCCATCTCTCCTTCCTGCTGCACTGCAGTTGGATTCACAGTTCTGAAGAGTCTCTTTGCAAAATATAAATCGGATCGTCTCAGTGCCCACTTTTTCTACTTTCTTCCTGGCATCCCTGGATACTTCAGTGGCTTTTCATTAGTGTAAGGACAAGTAGAAAATTCTTCAACCTGTCCTTGAGGCAGACCCTTCTTTGGCTTATACTAACTGCTATACATTCTAAAATCTACCCTGTTTGGGAGCCAGTTTTGCCCTCCAGAGGGCATCCTTACCTGATGGCTTTGACTAAGTCTCATTGCAATTTGCATCATAGGCATCCCACTTTTAGGTATCAGCTCACTGTGCTTTTGCATTCATTTGTGCAATGGTTTAATTTGTATCTGGTTCCCTGGTCAGGTCTGTGAGATCACAGCCTGTTTGAACACCGTGGTCTTCCAGCACCATCTTTATAATGGATGCATTATTTTCTGTAAGTTCCCTAAGGTCCTATTGATGACGCTTCAGGTTGTTTCCAGTGCTGTTTCTATTATAAATTATAACAAAGAATCTTCACTGAGTGTTCATCTTTGCACATCTGTGTAAGTATAAACATATATTTAAAGGATAAAACTGTAGAAATGGAATTACCTGGAACTCACTGTGTAGACGAGGCTGGCCTCGAACTCACAGAGGTCCTCCTGCCTCTTCCTCCCGTGTGTTGGGATTAAAAACGTGCGCCACCATGCCAGGCACAATGATTTATTTCTAAGAAGAGCAATTCCCATTCATTTCCCTATACTAAGCCTTTGACTGAGCATCCAGCATTTACATGTTTGCTAAATTAATGAATGAATGGCTTTTAAAGAGCTTGAGGAAGGCCAAAGGCAACATAGAATTAGCGACAGCGAGGTGGGAGGATGCCCACCAAGCTCCTCATTCTGAGGTGGGAGCCAAAGCCCACTGGGCATAAGTGGCTGGACCTAGAGTTCAGCTAGTCAGGTTGAGGCAGTCCTCAGATCCTAATTTGCCAAGTCTATTAGAAGCTCACCTCCAAGTCGTCTGGGGGGGGCGGGGGCGCTGCAAGGACTGCTGCTTCCACAACATTCCTGTGTTTGGCTTTTGTGACCAGGAGTTATATTTCAGCTGAAAAGATGTGCAAATCAGTCAACTCGAAGCTTTGGAGCTGCCAAAAAATCAGCTTGGGAAAAGAGGAAGGCTGGCGACCACCCGTTTGGAAAATTGCCTTTGTACGTAACTGGAGGGCATGCACATGTGTATAAGGATCAAGCACCCTCCTTTCTATGCCTAGATTTTTCATTTCCTTTTTCCTTTGTATTGCTTCAAATCAAAGCGAAGCCATGGCAGAGAACCTCTTGCCCTGAGCTACGTATATGAAAATGGAGGAGGTTATGGGAGTCGCATGTTTTCAATAATGGATCGGAGGTATGGCCGTTTATAGGAAATGAAGCGAAACTGTTGCTAAGCTGATGCTGAGAGGAACTGGGTCGGGGTGGGGGGCTCCTAATTCCAGTAGATTTACCTACCCCCCCCAACTGTTCGTTTATGTCTTACCCACTGAATAAGAATCAGTTCTGGACTGGCCAGGCAGTCTGCTTATCCTATTTAAAGATTTCTTAAAAGAAACCATTTCTATCACCACAGCTTGATTGTTAGAAAAATATTCACAAAGCAGAGTCCGTTTTGAAGAGAACATCTGTAAAATTGGGTCAGCAGATACGTTACACGTTGGCACAGAAGATGAAATACAACCCTGTCTGGTGTGTGTTCACAGCAACAGGGAAGAGCTTTGTTTCCAGGGCACGCACTTGGATTGGTGCCTTTTGGCTCTGATGGCTCTGACCTGCTACACAATCCAGGCTTAAACACAGCAAGTGGGCGCCACTACCTTCCCCGCCCTGGTTTTCTCTGATAGCTCCAGCCCAGTGGCAGAGACAGCATGTGGTTCCTCAGAGAGCCACTGGAG